GGCTCGGTGCTAGAGACACCGAAGATGACCAACTCATTGATTTATCGGTGCCTCCAAATCGCAATACTCACACCACCGGCATGTGGCTGATATTGAAAGTCCTGAAAATAATTGAATTAGATTTAAAAAATTCGATTAATGTCAACTTACCAGCAAAAGTCTAGCTTGCTTCATCATGGGGGCGGCGGGATCTCCAGCCTTTCTCGTTTGGAGGCTCTCTTGGAGCTGGGTGTTTTGATGGTGTTGGATAGCCCCCTCTGCTTCAAAAATCCCACCACATTGGTTACAGATCTTGGAAGATGTTTAGCAATCCTCATGATGTTTCAGGTTATCTCCTTCCTGGTGAACCATTTTGTGCACAAAATTAAAAATTCGCTGTTTATGGAGGTTTGTTTTAAAGTAAATGAAAAAAGTTTAAATTGGTTAAAGAACCTACCTAAATTTTAGAAAAAGAAATTTGAGTTTTGTGCAAATGTAAGTGAAAAAGTAAATTCAAGTTGCTGCGTAAAAAACTATTGGAATTAAATTAAGAAATAGGTAGGTACTCAGGGTTGTCTGTATTTTTAAAACACATACAATATATTTATGTGTTAAGGAAAATAAAAATAATTCAAAAATCGAGGTTTGTGTTAATTCAAAATATGTCTCGGGGCATGATTTATCCTACATCACTTAGATATTTAAAAATAGTAAGTACTTACAGTTTTTCGAAACCGACACTTATCGCCCAAAAAACTAAACTTTGAAAATCCAGGCTCAAAGTACTGGTACTGGATGCTGCGTTTTTTGTACAAAGAAAAAAAATTGAATCCTCATATTTTACAGGTAACAATGTATCCACTGAAATTTTGTATTGCATAAGGGTATTGGCTCATAAAATGTCAACGATGCTAATTTAAATCTATTCTTTTAAATTTTGATAAATTGTTTGAATTTGTCACCTATTAAAATAAAAATAGACATATTAATACCTATCTAACTTAATAATTACACCTTAAACTAAAAAATTATTTTTAAAATGTGTTGTTGTTTTTCTCGGGCGGCTTCTGCGAACGGTCCTGATATAATTCAGATAAAAAAACTGCCGATTAAGCGTTTGCATTTAGCGGTGTTTTTTGTATGTGATACTTCGAAGTTTAAATCGGATTTTATAATAACAAGCTTCTTTCAGTCTCTCTCAAACTAGTCAACAGTGGAAAATATAAAATTATTGCACAACAATTAATTTGATTTTAACCAAGTAAGTAAATATCTTATATACTAATATCAATCAACAACAAGACCTGTCTTTTCCTAGCAAAGGATTGAAAACACTGAGAAAATTACAAGACCTGAAGCCTCATAGAAAGTGAAATTTCCAATATTTTGACAGCGTTTTTTGTATGTTATGTTGTTAATTCGAAGTTTGAATTGGATTTTATAATAATTAAGCTCTTTCAGTCTTGTTTGAGACTCGTCAACAACAATAAAATTATTGCACAACAATTATCATTTTAACCAAGTAAGTGAATATATTATATACCTACTGATATCGATACAATTATGGAATATTTTAGATATGGATTTGAAATCAATCAACAAGACCTGTCTTTTTATAACAAAGGATCAAAAACACTGAGAAAATTATAAGATCTGGTATAAAGTGAAAGTTCCCAATATTTTCTACGATAGAGACCTCAAAATAATTGCAAATCTTTACTGGAACCAATAAACTATACAAATTAAGGTAGATCATAAAACTATTGTACAGAAATTATTATTTTAACCTAGTAAGTAAATATCTTATATACTTAGGTAATCGATACAATTGTGGCATATTTTTAGCTATGGATTTGAAATACTCGTCGAATTTGACGATAACGCAGTGTTGCTCCCAAGACGTACCACCAAAATGATTGGATCATATTAAGCAGTTTATTGATGGAAAATATTCGCTTTTTGAAATCGTTGTCTTAAAAAATGTATGTTTTTAATAAAAAAACGAGGCCCCTTTCCCATCAAACGTTGGTTCCAACCAAGGATAATACACACTACTACTACAGGATAGCCTATCCTCCTAAGGCCTGTGTGGAACAAATCCACTCTCTCCCCAACGTTAAATCACCAGTTGTGACGTAAGCAGCATGTTATTTCTCGCCTTGACGTAGGTTGTTTAAACAGCTGATGACTTAGTTATGGCGTCGTAAATGGTAACACACGAGGTCAATGAGCAATACTGTAGGTGTGTATCATCCTTAAGTTCGAACACCCTCTACCAGGTACAACATGAAGCTAGCTGCTGGACCCTCATAGTTACGTCACCACCACAGCATCCTGTTATAAGACACATCAAACTTGACACATGTACTCTAAATGGCGCCACGGACGTGACCCAGGTCGCTATGACGTCATCACAGAACCCGAACCATGAATCGAACTTTGCACTATGTACTCTAAATGGCGCCACGGACCCGCACTGACGTAACTAACGTGACCCAGGTCGCTATGACGTCATCACAGAACCTGAACCCTGAATCAAACTTTGCACTATGTACTCCAAATGACTCCACGGACGTGACCCAGGTCGCTATGACGTCATCACAGAACCCGAACCATGAATCAAACTTTGCACTATGTACTCTAAATGACTCCACGGACGTGACCCAGGTCGCTATGACGTCATCACAGAACCCGGAACGACTCAAAACTCCCGCTATGACGTCATGACGTTTGACAGATGACGTTTGACAGGTGACGTTTGTCAGATGACGTTTGACAGGTGACGGTTGACATGATGGCGGGAAAACATTTCCCCTCACCCCTTTTTCTGGTACCCATATTAAAATCCGGGGGCCCCTTTTTGGGGGGCGGAGCCCTACGGGTGCAGGTCCCATGGCGCCATCTGTCGACAAGATGGCGCCATGGCGGTGCATCCACCTTCATGTCAACGACGGCGCATCCACCACGTGTCAAGAATGAAAGATTGAGGTTATGGTCGGATTTTTATAGTCATACCCCTGTTGCTGTACTACTCACGGTGTCATGGTAACATGGGAAAGTGAAAAAAAGGGTCACTTCGCATGTTGTTATCAATACGCGAACCTTGTCATTTTTTGACGTTTGTAGAAAAAACATATTTCGAATAATTATGTCTAATTATTGTCAAGCGTCAGGTGAGTTCAAAAATGTTTATTTGTTATTTCGTTTTTCGTTGCTACAGAAGCAAAAATTGAAAATAATACCTAATTATTATTGTTCTTATATAAACCACTTAAACTTTATAGAGTACAAGAATAATTATTAATATATTTTTTTTACTACTTACCTGAGAAATAGTCATTATTCCATCTATTTTTCTAGGAAAAAATTGAATTTCTCTCCCTAGGTGAATAATGAAAATAATGAAAAAGTCCCTAGGTCATTAATGAAAATGACGTCATGACGCAAGGATATTGTCATGTTTCTATTGGTCCAATTTCAATTTCATACGTCAATTCAAAAAAAATACAGGTTTCTGTAGGTTGTTAGAGGGCAGCACTTTCAAAAGGGCGTTCAAAAAAATAATTAAGAGCACAGATTTTGAATATTTTTTTTATTTTCTACTAGTAGTAGTAAAAAAAATTCTATATATTCCTCGGTAGAGAAAGTCATTATATACCTTACACATTATAAACCTCGGCGCTCCGCGCCTCGGTTTATAAAAGCGCTCGGTATATAATGACCAACTTCTCTACCTAGGTATATAATATACTATTTTTTACTACTTACCTGAGAAATAGTCATTATTCAATCTATTTTTCTAGGAAAAAATTGAATTTCTCTCCCTAGGTGAATAATGAAAATAATGAAAAAGTCCCTAGGTCAATAATGAAAATGACGTCATGACGCAAGGATATTGTCATGTTTCTATTGGTCCAATTTCAATTTCATGCGTCAATTTAAAACAAAATACAGGTTTCTGTAGGTACATAGGAAGTTATCATAAGCTGTTGATAGGGGGCAGCACTTTCAAGAGGGCGTTCAAAAAAAAAAAATTAGAGCACAGATTTTAAGCAAATTTTTTATTTTCTACTAGCAGTAGTAAAAAAAATTCTTTATATTCCTCGGTAGAGAAAGTCATTATATATAATGACCAACTTCTCTACCTAGGTATATAATATACTATTAATTTAATGTCCAATTTTGGCCTTATGTCAAATTTAGTTTATGGTGTGAACAAATTAAATTTTCATATATACCCACAAAGAATATAATAACAATACTTCAAGTAGTTTAGCGTCAAAATTTTCACCAATTTTATCTAGAAGTATGCAGAATGAATGACTTGACTCTGTCGATGCTGTAATTTACATTAAAAAATACTGTGATAACATGAGTTATTTTCTCAGTTATCTTTATTTTTCCTAAAAATTTCAAGTTGTTTGCTCGAAAAATAAATTCGTAAACCCGCTTACGATTATCTGTAACTTTTTTGTTTATTCGTTCATTCGTGCCCTACATGCTGATTGCTAATACCATTATTATAGATTAGTTTTCCTCAGTCAGTCCTGGATTCAGGCATAGGCTCTATAGGCTGATGCCTATACTATACTATGGCGGCAAATTTTGCTGTGGCAAATTTCAAGTGGCGAAAATAATTATTTATAAAAAATAACTATATTGTATGCGCCCTAAATTAACAAAAAAAAACAAAGCTAGTCGCTTACTTCTACCAAAGTTTGCTTCTACCTACCCGAGTAGATATTTTTTGCATTTTCCCTCTCTATACAATTATATACATTTATTATTTATTTATAGCAACCGATTTAACTTTCTTCGTCAACAATTCCTGTAATGCAATATTTAAAAAAAAGCGGCAAAAAGTTGTAAATCCGGCCCTGTTCCTGCTCTTATATCAAATGAGTAGGTACGCGGCTGAGAAGGCTTTACAAATCTTATCAAAGAACTACTGAATAAAAATTTATATAAATTGAAACCCTCTTCAATAAATTCATGAGATTTTAGTCTCGTTTCCAACCGAAATGTCTCAGTTATCTAATTTTATAATATTCGCCAATATCCTATTGGCCATTAGTTCAAATGTGACCGCTAAAAATGATTGTGTTATAAAAGAATTTGACCAAGTTAATGCAATACTTAAAAGATGCACCAACATAGTAGTGGACAGTTTGGTTGTTCCTGGAGGACAACAGTTGCTTCTCCGATTAACTGAAGGTTCCACTCTAGCGTTCAGAGGTACTACAAAATTTGGGTTTGCTGAATGGATAGGAAATTTGGTAGTTATCACGGGATCCAACATTACCGTTTATGGAGAAAAAGGTAACCGTTTCCAGTCTTAAACCAGCATTTTTTTTATTACTTAATTTCATAGATTCTCTACTGGATGGTCAAGGCCCTTTATGGTGGGATGGTCAAGGTTCATGGGGCAACGTCACAAAACCAAAATTCTTCAGAATCAAGAATACTAATAATTCAATTTTCTATGATATCAATATCAAAAATTGTCCAATGGGTTGTACGCAAATTGAACAAAGTGAGAATGTAACTTTAAGAAATTTTAAAATCGATATTTCGGAAGGAGACGAGGGGGGTGGCGCCTGAAAATAAATTCGGCCACAATACTGATGGTTTTGGGATTTCGAAAAGCCAAAATATACTTATTGAAGATGCAGTAGTTTACAACCAAGACGACTGTGTAGTTGTAAATAGCGGTAAACATATTACTGCAAGGAATTTGTTTTGCCATGGAAGCCATGGATTGTCTATAAGCGTTAAAGGATCAGTAGTTGAGGATGTATTATTTGAAAACTGTACTGTTACCAATTCAGAAAATGGTATACACGTCAAAACTCGTACGGACGCAGGAGATGGTTTGATAAAAAATATTGTGTATAAAGACATTACTCTACTTGGTAAGTGACAATATTCTGCCCAAATACTTATATTATAATGCATTTATTTCTCATAGACTGCACAATGTTTGGCATAAGTGTACAGCAAAATTACCAAAACTTGCCACATGGGCAACCCCAAGATGGACCTCCAGGTAACAACATTCCCATCGTTAACCTAAAATTGTCAAATGTTCGTGGAAATGTTTTGGATGAAGCTGTTCCTGTATTCGTTTTGTGTGCCGAAGAAGGTTGTTTTGATTGGAAATGGGAAGGAGTCAATATGAAGGGTGCTCGCAGCAATAATTGTACCGGTTTCACACCTGTGGGTTATAATTGTTAAGTAATAAACCTATGTAGGATAAAAGCATTAAGTACATATAAGTATACAATCAATCAAATTCAATTATTATTATATTATTATAAGGTTTGTTCCAGCAAAAAGTTGGAAACATGTTGGTGACATTAACCTAACAGTTAAATTTGTTGGTGACAGATGTTTTTAAGTTTGTGTTTGTAACATTTTAATTTTGCTCTTCCCATTAAATGAGTAATTCAGCGTTTTAACTGGTAACACACAAATATTATTTTAGAGCTGACTTAATTGATTGGATATTAATTACCTTACTCTGCATCTTTTTAGATAATTTCAGGCACAGCCAGACAAGATTTTGCTCCTTATCATTTGTCTAATGATTTAGTTGACCATTGCAGATGAATATTTATTGAACAATGCCTGGTCTTTTGTTTGAGCGTGTATTTCAAGTGGCGAAGGACCACCCTGTGCTCAGGGAAAACAGTGGACTGCAGACGAGCTTCTTAAATGTTTTATTAAAAAAAAATAATATAAAAAAATGCGTGGCAGCGAGCAAATTGACAAACGTGTTTCAAACTTTTTCTATTTTTTCAAAAAAGTGACGTCTACTTGTTTTTTATTTGCTTGGTTACTTCTGTTTTGTTTTTTCTTCTCCAGCTCTTGATTTTCTTTTTCATTAAATACCTACTAACCGGAACATGCCGCCCGCGTTGAAAAGTATACTTTTCAAAAAAGTTATACATTGATAAATACTTAAATAAAATGAACAAAATTTATGCAAAAAATTGCAATTTTAAACAACGTACATCTCTTCTAAAATTTTCGAGAAAATCTAACTTTTGAGAGGAAATTAAATTCTTAGACAGTCGTATCAATAGGTAAAACACAAATTTTTGATAGTGATCGTTTCACAATAGTTCCACTAGATAACTTCACTGATACCACTCTCACAATGTTATCTGCACCGGGATGTAAAGCAATCACCTTTGCCATAGGCCATCGTAGAGGGGGCAGATTGTCTTCCAACAAAATCACAATGGAACCAGCTTGTAGATTACATGGGAGTTTTATTAACCATTTTGAGCGAGCCTGGAGCTGACTTAGGTATTCTCGTGACCAACGAGACCAGAAACTTTGCAACATTTGTTGTAGATGCTGGTATCTGGAGAGCCTGTTAGTATTTTGATCCAATATGTTATGTTGGGGCATGCTAGCTAAGGAATCCCCAATCAAAAAATGGGCTGGCGTCAGTGGCATCATATCGTTGGCATCGTGGGATAATGTTGTTAGTGGACGTGAATTAAGACAACCCTCTATTTGTACGAGAAGAGTATTCATCTCTTCGTAGGTTAAAATAGTATTTCCGAGCACGCGTTTCATATGAAATTTTGTCGATTTAACGGCGGCTTCCCACAAACCACCTACATGTGGAGATTTGGCTGGTATGAAGTGCCACTTGATCTGATCTTTTGCGAGAAATGCCGACACATTATTTTGAAGTTTTTCATTATTTAATAACTCGTATAACTCTGAGAAATAATTATTGGCTCCTACAAAATTTAAACCGTTATCAGAGTAGATATCTGTAGGACGACCTCGTCTAGAAATAAAACGCTTGAGTGCATTCAAGAAACTTTCTGTAGTTAAATCGTGGACCAATTCAATGTGAACAGCACGCACCGCAAAACTAACAAAAATGCAAATATAGGTCTTCACAGTTTTGCTTCTACGAAGCGTACCTTCCTTAATAAAAATCGGTCCTGCATAATCGATGCCACATTTTGAGAAAACTCTAGCTGGTGTAACTCTCGCGTGAGGCAAATCGCCCATTAAAAATTTTGAAACTCTTGGGTTAGCTCTAAAGCACCGTACACAAGAACGAATAACTTTTTTGATCGCGTTTTTACCATTTATTGGCCAAAACTTCAATCGCACAATAGATAGCAGATTTTGAGCTCCAGCGTGAAAGTTTTTCAAATGTTCGTGAGAAAGCAAAAGATTAGTAAATTGGTGTTTATATGGAAGAACTATAGGATATTTGTGGTCATATTCAAGTTGTGAGTTGGATAAGCGTCCTCCTACTCTTATTAAATTATTTGAATCCAGAAAAGGATTCAAGTTAGCCAATTTACTATTTTTATCTACCGACTTTGAATTTTTGAGATCAATAATTTCTTTGTTAAAAGCTTCTAATTGAGCAAGTCTTATGAGAATATTTAAAGATTCTGATAGTTCATCAATTGATAGAAATTTTGAAGTAGATTTTGAAATCTTTTTCAATAACCGATTCTTGAATCTGCACATGTATCCAACCACATGCTGTAACTTTATGAAAGTGGAAAATTCATTGAAAATTGTAAATTCAGAAATTTGAGTAGTGGTTAGCATTATAGAAACTGTTTTGATTTCGGGTAGTGCTTCTTGAAAGGAATCGTGTAAATTTTCATAATTTTTTTCTTTGAGAAAAGACGGACCTGTCCACCAAAGGTCGCAATTTTTTAAATATTTTACGTCAATACCTCGAGTTATTATATCCGCAGGATTATCTTCACTCCTGACAAAATGCCAATCGTCCAATTTTGTAAGTTCAGTAACTTTCATTACTCGGTTAGCAACAAATGTTTTTAATTGACTTGGATCGATTTTCAACCATGATAAAACAATTTCGGAAATATTTACATCAAGTGCATTTTTTACAATATTGACTAACTTCGCAAGTAAATGAGCTGCGAGTAATTCGAGACGTGGTATGGTAAGTTTTTTAATTGGGCAAACTTTTGATTTTGCTGTGAGTAATCGCACTTTCCGTTCACCCTTTTCATTAATTGAACCTAAATAAACACATGCGCCATAAGCCTTTTCAGACGAATCGCTAAACCCAAATAAAATTACTTTATTTTGAGAAATTTGTACCACCTGTCTGGAAATTCTTATGTCATTTAATAAAGGTAACTCCTTCACAAAGTTTAACCATGATTCTGTTAAATTTGGAGGAATTTCTTCATCCCAATCGAGCTTTAAATTCCAAATATTTTGAAGTAAAATTTTAGGTTTTATTAGACAAACACTAACTAGACCAAGCGGGTCAAATATTTGGGCTATCGTGGACAGAATAATACGTTTGGAAATTTTCTTGGGATTTATGTTTACTTTTATCGAGTATTTTAAAATATCTTCATCTGGAATCCAAGAAATACCTAAAGTTTTGAATTCTTTACTGACGTGGGGATGAATTAAGTTGTCATTGTTAATTTTATTTGATTGCAAAATAAAGTCCAATATAGAAGTTTTGTTTGACGACCACTTCCTTAATTCAAATTTAGCTTGCAAAAAAATATCAGTTATTTCGCGGTAAATATCTAAGGCTTCTTCTTCTGAATTAACACTAACTAGAAGATCGTCCATATAAAAAGAATTTTCAATTATTTTACAAGTACGAGGATAAATGTCTTTATTATCTAAAGCGAGCTGCTTCAGACAACGTGTCGCGAGAAAAGGTGCACACGATGTGCCATAAGTCCCTGTATTGAGCGTGAAAACTTTAAGTGATTCTTGAGGATTTTCGCGCCAAATAATTTGTTGAAAAGAACAATCGTCTGGATGTATTAGGATTTGCCTGAACATCATTTTGACGTCAGCATTGAGAACAACCTTTCGTAAACGTAGTCTTAATAAAATAGAGTAAAGATCATCTTGAACCGTGGGACCTGATAATAAAAGATCGTTTAGAGACCTCCCTGTATCTGATTTTGCGGAAGCATCGAAAACCACTCGACACTTCGTGGTAACTGATGAATCTCTCAGAACAGCTGTGTGAGGTAGAAAAAATGACGTTCTCTCCTTAGAATTATCCAGTTCAAGATTACATTTTAAAGACATATGATTTAATTGATGATATTCTTGCATAAATTGAATATAACATTCCATTAAATTTTGGTTGTATCGAAAACGAGACTCTAATTTTTTGAATCTTTTCAAAGCCATAGATTTTGAATTGCCTAAAATTTCGCATTTACTTTCGGAAAACGGTAGTCGAACTACAAATCGACCATCTGAATTTCTGCTTGTGGTTTGCTGAAAATAATCTTCACAAAACTGAGACTCGCGTGACAAAATTTGAATTTGAGGTAACTCTTCGATTTGCCAGAATTTGTTTAACTTTTCGTTTAAATCATTATTTGACACCTGATTGATGAAATTGCATACTGATTTTTGAGAATTTATTTTGCCTGTACTTAAAGTTCCCGTTAAAATCCAACCTAAAGAAGTTTGCATTAAAACAGGTAGATTTTGACCTAATTTGATTTTTCCGTTCTCAATAAGTTCATAAAATATATTTGCACCCAACAATAAATCGATTTTCTTGGGTATATTAAAATTTTCATCAGCGAGGGGAATGTTTTTTGGCAAAGGGATTTGAATTTTTTGAAATCCAAATAACGGCAATTTTACAGTAATAACTGGCAAAACTAAGAATGTTAATTTAGTTTGAAAATTAGTGAATCGCGATTTTATTTTAGCTTGAGTTTTTTCGTGAACATTCATTATTATTTGGTTTATACCTGCTAAAGGAGCGCGGATTTCTTCAGAATCCAACATCAGCCTTTCACGAAGTTCGCGGGTCATTAAATTGGATTGACTTCCAGAATCTAACAAAGTTACGCATTCATGCAACTTTCCAAATTTATCTTCGATTAACACCACAGCTGTAGATAGAAGAACTTGACTGGCATTTACATTAACAAACGATAATTCTGAAAAATTCGGTAAATGAGATGACATACAAACATTTTCATTGAAATTCTTATCCTTCACTGACTCAAACTCGTTACTTTGACCAGCTGCCGCGTCATAACGGTCGACTCTCATGTCCGCGCTTTCGTCTGTCATAATTGGAAATTTGTCGCGTAGTTCGTGAGCTATGAGGGTCGATGTTGCGACGTAGTCCTTTTTTTCTGAATTACTGGTGACTTTGGGCTTAAAAGGAGCAAAATTAGTTTTTGTTTGTGGATTATCTTCATGTAATA